AAACAAATTCAGGTGTATATACACCGTACTGCATGCACAAACACAAACAAATTCAGGTGTATGTACACCGCAGCAACTTAGCTGCGAGTAGAAAGGTATATGTATAATACACGTTCAGGTGTATGCACAACCATACAACAATTCAGGTGTATATACACCGCAAGCTGAGGTGTATATACACCGCAAGTTGAGGTGTATATACACCGCAAGCTGCGGTGTATATACACCTCAAGCTGCCCTTCCTGCCTCGAAAGAAGTACATGAATAAAACCGCAAAAAAAAAAGCAACTAAAAAACCCCAAACCCAAAAACCCAAAACCAAACCCAAAACCAAAAACAAAAAAAATAAAAACAAAAAAAAAAAAAAATAAAATAAAATAAAAGCATACATGATTAGGAAACCCCCCAATGAAGCAAGTACGTTCAAGCTGTTCAGTTTCTGGCTCAGCAACGAATACACCCGAAACGAGAGATTGTGCTGGCGGCAGTCTGCCGTCAACAGCCGTCACAGCAACACCAATACCCAGCTCGCTTTTTTTACGCGCTGCTAGCTGCTTCGCCTGAGCTGCTGCAGCCTGCACTGCCTAGAGAAATACACACAGCAGCACCAGCAGCAACAGCAGCAGCAGCAGCAGCAGCAGCAGCAACGACAGCAACAGCAGCAGCAGCAGCAGCAGCAGCAGCAGCAGCAGCAGCAGATATATGATGGACAAGGGCCGGTGATGCAGCAGCAAATCCAGATAGTAGGAACTGCAGGAACTGCAGCAGCAGCAAGTTAACATTCAAAGAAACAGCAGCAGCAGCAGCAGCAGCAGAAGCAGCAGCAGCAGAAGCAGCCGCAGCAGAAGCAGCAGCAGCAGAAGCAGCAGCAGCAGAGAAGCAGCGAAGAACAAGCAACAGCAACAGAAGCAAAACAGCTCTGGAAGATACAGCAGCAGAAGCAGCAGAACAACACTGAGAGAAACGGCAACGGCAGCAGCACAAGCAACAGCAGCAGCAGCACGAGCAGCAGCAGCAGCAGCACAAGCAGCAGCAGCAACAGCACAAAGAATAGCAGCACAAGCAACAGCAGCAGCACAAGCAACAGCAGCAGCAACACAAGCAACAGCAGCACAAGCAACAGCAGCAGCAACAGCACAAGCAACAGCAGCAGCAACACAAGCAACAGCAGCAGCAGCACAAGCAGCAGCAGCAGCAGCAGCAGCAGCAGCATACCTGAAGGTTAGCTAGGTGGTTCTGCATAGCAATCTCAACAGCCGTTACGGGGGCAGGGGCCCCAACAGCAACAGGAAGGAGAGCAGCAGCAGTACCAGGGAGTGCAGCAGCAGCAGCAGCAGCAGCTAAAGCTGGATTTGCTGCTGCAGCAAGACCAAGAGCAGCAGGTGTAGCCAACAGTGGAGCAGCTCCCCCTGCAACCCCAGCAGCAGCAGCAGCAGCAGCTGCTGCTGCTGCAATACCCCCAATAGGCTGTACGGGTGGGGGCAGCACAACAGGAGTAGCAGCAACAGGAGGTGCTGCTAGCGGCGTGACAAGTCTCATAAGGTTTTCAGCGGGGCCCCCTGGTGCCCCTGGGGCCCCAGGGGCCCCGGGGGCCCCAGGGGCCCCCGGGGCCGTGGCTGTGGCTGTGGGGCCCCCCGGGTTAAGCACAGAAACCTGCATGGGCAGACCCAGCAACTCCGTGCCGTTGAGCTGAGAAGCCGCCGTGATGCCCGCGCTGTCGGCGAACTCGAGCTCACAGTAACGGCCCCCACCTGCTGCACCCGGGAGAGATCTGAACTCTACACGCAGCAGCTGAGAGCAGTGGGAGAATATAGCTTTCAGGTGTTCCTCGGTGACCAATGGAGATAAATTTCTTACATATAATACATTGCGAGAACCATATACACGACCAAGGGGGACCCCTGATGATGAGGCCCAATGGGCACCACCACCACCTGCTGCTGCTGCAGCAGCTGCTGCTGCTGCTGCTGCTGGAGCCGCCGCAGCACCCGGTGTTGGTAGCATCTTTTGCTAGGAAGCAACCGGGTAAGGCAGCAGCAGATGCCGGTACTGAAAGGGTTTAAAACGCATGCAAAGAGAAAGATATTAAAGAAGAAAGAGAAAGCAAGCAGCAGCAGCTTTTGTAGTATGTACAAGCAGCAGAGGCCCCCAAGGAAGCTCCGCGGGGGGGAGGAGAGGGGCCCCCAACAGCTGCTGATAGAAGAGAAGACGCAAAGAAAAGATAAACCACAAACTAAACTCCACGGGTTACCCCTTAATAAGCACCAGAAGAACACAGGAGAAGCCCAACAGAAATACAGAGCCGCCGCCGGAGCTGCCTGTACACCTGAAACGAGCCCCCGGCAGGGTGAGAGGTGCGGGGCTGAAATAAAGCACTTTTGCGGTTTTTGTGGTTTAATTCTTCTCAATTTGCTAAAAACTAATACGAGAAACCAAACAAATGCAACAAAGTCTACCCAGCCTTCTCTCAATGCACGCATGTGCTGCGCGCCTGCATCAGCCCCGCAGGCCAGCCCCTTCTCTTTGGGGGGTAATACGAAAGATAAATCAATAAATAAAAACAGAATTTATTTTAATATTACTTTTTAGCCGGTGAAACTCTAAAAATTTATTAAATTATATTCATGCTCCAGCATGAACGCCTCAGTACCACCCCTCGCGCCCCCACAGTAACCCGCGGCATGGGGGGGGGGGCAACAGACATAAACAACCAGAATATCTGCGGTTTTTGTTTATTTATATAATTAAAAAACAAAAAAACTTGAAACTTATTTCATTATTTTCTTCAGCAGGTAGACAGCATACACTGTACACCCAGCAACCACCCAACCCCAGAGCCGTGCGGGTGCATCCATACAAATTTTTCTTAGAGTGGAAAGCTGTAAGCTTCAATAGGGTAATAGCTGCAGAGAGATGTTTCTGTATGAGCAGCAGAGCTGCCCCCAGCCCCTGGGTGTCCTGGATACGCTCGCATGCAGCAGTGGGGCTGCGGCGAAGCAACGCCTGCAGCAGCTGTTGCTGCAGCAGCTGCTGCTGCTGCTGCTGCAGTGCAGCAGCAGAACGAGACAGATGTTATCCCTCTCTGCTGCATGCAGCAGCAGCGCCACATAGAGGTTTCAGTTGCTTATGTTGGCCGCAGTACACATCTCTCTCACGCTCATAGAAATGATAGAAACTACACACACAAACTAACTTCATACAAAGCTTGCTGCATACACCCTTCTCTCTCCACCAAGCAGCAGCAAGCAGCAAGCAGCAAGCAGCAGCAACCGACACCCTCCTCTCGTTGTCTCCCGCGAAAAGGAGAGATTCACAGAGGGGGCCGAAGGGGGCCCCGGGGGGGGCCAGGGTAGGGGCCCCCCCCAGGAAGGAAAGAGAAGCTAAGCGTGAGAGAAAGCTGTATATCCTTCTCTGGTGTTGATGCTTGTACTGGCGGGCTTCTTACAGCTGCTGGTCTCTCAGTGGTCTGTCCACTGGTCACGCACAGCGTGGTGGTTGGGGGCCCCCCCAGGGGGCCCCTGAGGCAGCATAAAAGTTGTATTTCTGTCTCTCTACAGTTTGTCTCTCTCTAACTATATTATATTAGTTTTATATAATTTACACTCTCCAGCAGCAACTCCTTTTTATATTATATTTGCTTTGCCCCCCCACACCATACACAGCTCTAGATAGTATAACTTGAGTTCATATTCAGCACAATATAATTAATTACTATGTATATATATATATATATATATATATATATATATATATATATATATATATTTA